GTTCATGTGAGAGATGACAGTGGCTTAGACTATGTGGTAGTATTAGTGATGGAGAAAAGCTAGATTTGGGGTTTACTATAGTACTTGCTGATGCTTGGATATGAGCAGTGAAAGGAAGAAAGGAATCAACAATAACTCTTAGGTTTTTGGATGAGGGTACTCTTTCTTGATACGGGGGACACTGAGGGAGGAGCAGATTTGGGAGGGGTGGAATTGAGATTTCTCTAATGGCCATGTTAAGTTTGAGAAGCCGAAGAGGACATGGCCTGTAAACAGCTAGATAGTTCCAGGGAGAGTTAGAGTTGAAGATAAAAATTTGAGAGTGACTGGCATGTGGGGTGGTATTTAGTTAGGATATCAGGTCAGCTGCCGAATCAGAGAGACCCAAAATAATAGTGCCTTAAATAAGTTAGATTTTTGTTTATTTCTTACTGGTATGGCAGAGACTTAGCCACCACCTATCTTGCTATCAAGTCCACATTTTAGCTGTTGGGAAAGGGGGAAGGGGAAGATGCCTTTACCTTTAAAAGCACAGCCTGGAAGTTGCAAATATTTTTTCACTCATCCTTTCAGAATGTAGTCACATGGCCATATCTATTTGCAAGGGAGGCTGAAGAATGTACTCTTTAGCTGGATGATTAGATGCCCAGATAAAAACTGTATTGCTAGTACAGGGAAAGGATATAGACGGTAATGGCACACTGTACTTGAGAGAGTATTTAAAACCAACGGGATTACCTGGGGAGAACATATAAATAGGGAGGAGAGGGGAGCCCAGGATCAACCTCTAGAGCAGTGGTTCTCAACCTTCCTAATGCCACGACCCTTTAATACAATTCCTCATGTTGTGGTGACCCCAACCATAAAATTATTTTTGTTGCTACTTAGTAACTGTAATTTTGCTACTGTTACGAATCGTAATGTAAATATCTGATATGCAGGATGTATTTTCATTGTTACAAATTGAACATAATTAAAGCATAGTGATTAATCACAAAAATAATATGTAATTATATATGTGTTTTCCGATGGTCTTAGGCAACCCCTGTGAAAGGGTCGTTCGACCCCCAAAGGGTTCACAACCCACAGGTTGAGAACCGCTGCTCTAGAGCTCTTCAGCATTTGGTGTTCTGGTGAGGAAGGGAAAGCCCGTCAAGGAAGACTGAAAAGGAATTGCCGGTGAGGTCAAGGCAACCAGGGGGGGCGGGGGGGGGGGTATCATTAAAGCCCAGAAAAAAGTATTGCCAGAAAATGGTGTTGAATGCTGCTGACAGTTCAAATAAGATGTGAACAGAAAATTTAATATTGGTTTGAGCAACATAGTCTTATGTCAGAAGCAGTCTTTGTACTTTCTGCCACCACACTTTATAAATACAGGCCCAGCCCTAGCCATTTTGGCTCAGTGGATAGAGCATCGGCCTGTGGACCAAAGGGGTCCAGGGTTCGATTCTGGTCAAGGGCATGTACCTTGGTTGCAGGCTCCTCCCTGGCCCAGGCCCTGTTCGGGGCTCGTGCAGGAGGCAACCAATCGATGTGTTTCTTTCACATCAATGTTTCTCTCTGTTTTACCCTCTCTCCTCCACTCTCCCTAAAAATCAATGGAAAAATATCCTCGGGTGAGGATTAATAACAACAACAAAAACCACAGACCCATCTGTCTTTCCCCTCTTTATACTGGATGGTGTGGGGTGTGGGGTTTCTCTTGCCTGTCCACTGCTAGCCTTGTGTGTTCTAAATCACCCCTCCTGCCTTCTCAGGGACTTATCAGTCATTCTTTTCTCTTTCATGTATCTTTAGCTTCCTTATCATCTAAACATGCCTAAGCCTCGAATATCTTTTTTTTTTTTCTTTTTTTTTTTTTATTATTAGTTAAGGTATTACAAATGTGTCCTCATCCCCCCCATTAACCCCCAACCTCCCCAAGCCTCGAATATCTTAAAACAAAACAATAAAAATACCCCTTCCTTGACCTCATACCTCTTTCCAGCCACCACCCTTCTGCTCTTCTCTTCCTAGCCAAGTTTATTGAAAAACATGGCATTTCACTATATTTACTCCTTCATGTTGGTCAGAAACAACGTGGAGAGAAGGTGATTGCGTGAACAGCTGATGGCTAATTGACTAACTGACCAACTTGGCCTGACCAGCTGATTGAACAACTGGCTAAGTAGATGGGAGGGAGGGCAGACTGAACGAGTGGACATGCTAGATGACTAGATAAATGACTTGTGGATTCTAGATTAATCCACCTTACTTATTTCAAGAAACATACAAAAATTTGATTGATTTTATTTGGGAATGAAGGACCCTAGTGCCCTTAAGTATTTGATATATGTATACTTTTGCTGAGAGAGCTTTAAAGGATAAACAGTAGAAAAGTTGATGTCTTTCTAAAAGAAGACTTATTTGAGACCTCTGGGTTTCAGGGATAATTATGAGGATAACATACTGCTAATTTCTTTATTCTTTGGATATTCCTGCTTCTGAATCATCATACTGTGTCCCTGGATTTTCCTAGGGGAGAATGTTCTTCATGTTCGGGATGCTGATACCCAAGACAAAATATTGCAAGCGCTGCACCTTCAGTTTGGTAAACAGTACCCTTGGTGAGTACATACTCTCTTTTTTAAAAGTGATTTAAAAGAGGAGATGCCTTGAGCACCATTTCCAGCTGTAGTCACTGTTTAATCATCCAAACAGCTCTCATTCTCCATCCCTAAGATCCCTAGCTGATAGTGAGACAGAGCTTGCTAATATACCCCCTATTACTGTACCAAGGATTCTGATGGAGAATAATTTTATTTGTCTCAGTTAGTTAACATAGCTAGGAAATACTTCTTTAGCTTACTTTGAATTTCCATAAGTATTATAAAGCAGTATAACTGATTATCTTTTAAAATAGTGTAGTTTAGCCTGGCTGGTGTGGCTCAGCAGTTGAGCGTCAATCAAGAGGTCGCGGTTCGATTCAATTTGATTTGATTCCAGGTCAGGACACATGCTGGGTTTTGATTCTCAGTATGGGGCATGCAGGAGGCAGCCAATCAATGATGTTCCTCTCTCATAGATGTTTCTATCTATCTCTTTCCCTTCCTCTCTTTCTAAAAATCAATAAAAACATTTAAAATAAAAATTATCTAATTCTGCCCTGGCTGGTTTGGCTCAGTGGATAGAGCATCAGCCTGTGGACTGAAGGGTCCTGGGTTCGATTTTGATCAAGGGCACATGCCTGGGTTGCGGGCTCGATCCCCAGTAGGGGGCGTGCAGGAGGCAGCCAGTCAATGATTCTCTCTTATTGATGTTTCTATCTCTCCCTCTCCCTTCCACTTTGAAATCAATAAGAATATATTTAAAAAAAAAAAATAAAAAGAGATATAATAATCTAGTTCACCCTGAAGGTACAAGTAAAAATAAAAAAGTCTGGTTCAGCATTTTAATTTAGATTACCCTCCTTTCTAGTTCAAATTAATGAGTTGTCCCATGTATTCGAATGTTTTTTCCTGAAAATAACTTTTCCCCACGAAGGTAAAGATAAAAACTAAAAAAATTCATTGTCACAAACTGTTATATTCTGATATTGGCTTACCAAAACTAATTTTTCGTTGATAATATAGGTAGTTTCTAATGGTACCTCAGGCTGGAAATAGTTGTATTTCAATCAACAATAGAATTAAACATTGCATTGGTGACATGTGCTTACTTACTGTGTTTGCTAAAGAGATCCATATGTTGTTATTTTCAAAAGAAAAAGTACAAATTTTATTACCTCAAGTCTGAGATTCCATTAATATGTCTTCAATATTATTTAGCATGTATGAGAGAAGCATTTAATTGGACTTTTTGGGTATTGCAGCTCAAAGATATATGGGGATGGAAATGCTGTTCCAAGGATTTTGAAGTTTCTCAAATCTATTGATCTTCAAGAGCCACTACAAAAGAAATTCTGCTTTCCTCCTGTGAAGGATAATATCTCTCAAGACATTGACCATATTCTTGAAACTCTGAGTGCCTTGGCTGTTGATCTTGGCGGGACAAACCTCCGAGTTGCAATAGTCAGCATGAAGGTAAAAGTACTCCTAAGATCTTAACTTCATATCTCATGTGAGTAATTGATTTTTAAAAAGTATGGTTGGAAGGTAAGACTAGAAGCATACATGATAGCTTGTAATCATTTGCCCACAGTATTGACTTTTTGTGGGGGTTTTTTTGTGTGTGTGTTTTTAAATTTTTATATTAATTTCAGAGAGGGGGGAGGGAGAGAGCGGGGGAGGGGGGGAGAAAGATAGAAACATCAGTGATGAGAGAGAATCATTGATTGGCTGCCTCTTGCACGCTCCCCACTGGGGACCAAGCCCACAACCCAGGCATGTGCCCTTGACTGGAATAGAACCTGGGACGCTTCAGTTCCCAGGCCGATGCTCTATCCACTGAGCCAAACCAGCTAGGGCAGTATTGACTTTTTGGATCCATTACAGTATTTGTCATTATTTTACTAATCATTAACATTCAAAGAAGTAAAATTCTTGGGGAAGCCAAGTTAGGAGACTTAAGTTGACAATGGGAGACCACTTCGGCCCCAGACAGGGCTTTTGCCACCCAGGACACCTGAAATTCTGTATTTGGTTAATAGCTTGGATTATGGAGTATGCTGATTCCTTACCTAGGGACAGTGTCTGCAAATGTGACAGGAATGGTATCTCCTCTAGAATATGATTTTGGTTGAGTACAGCATACTTTCACTCCCTTAACCAAACCATCACCACAGTGCTGACAGAGGTTGAGAGAGCCTTCATAAAAATACCAAATTGTCTGTGTTAAAATGATCTCTGATGATTTAACAAGAAAGAATAAACCTACCAGAAAAATATTTATTTGAAATATTGTTGATATATAAAGTTTCAGGAGTTTATTAGAAATAGCAAAGATTTTTTTTCTTTTTTTATTTGGAAATAGCAAAGATTTTAAACACAAAGTTGTTTAGGTCAATAAAGAAAAACAAAATATGATTTTCTCAAGAGAAGCCGAAGGCCTCCTTTATTAATACTCTTTACAAAGTTCCAGTAAGAGAATATTTTCTTAACATGAAGATAATATATTCTACATCAGTGGCCAACACCCTTTGTCATGGTGAATTCTAGAGGCATTATTACTGCAATCAAGAGGAAAAGAAGGATGTTTCTGTAACATTATTGAACATAATTCTGGAAATTATGATGGGAATAAAACATGGAACAAACTGCAAAAATGGAGAGTGTGGACAGGATAAAACAAAAATGTTATTTATAGGCAATGTGAATAAACAACCTTATATAATTAATAAGCCAATTGAGTAAAATAGCTAGATATGATAAATATATAAATATCAATAACTTTCTACTTATATGAAATTGAAGGCAAAGATTTTAGTTCTCCTTTAGGTAAGTGAGTGTTTCTCAACCCTGATTGCACAATAACATTATCTGGAACCTTTAAAAAATATATAAATACCGGCCCCCTGCCCCCACCCCCAGAATAATTAAATTGGAATCTCTGGAGGTGGAGGCCAGGCATCAATATTTGTTCAAAGCTGCCCAGGTGATTCTGATACACAGTGAAGGTTGAGAATCACAACTTTAGGTTTTATGGCACTCACTAGCGGCCTGGTGCACGAATTCGTGCACACTGAAAGGAAATTAATTAGAAGAAATATTTTAATATTGCTATTCGCCCTTTCTCTATAGTAGAAGTGTCAACCAAATTCACAGTTGACAATGACAGATGGAAACACATGTTCAATTGGCACCAGCGAGAGCTTTATATGTATCACGCATGCATGAGTCAACTTATCCTTTTATAGATATAGAATAAACTTGCTTAATTAGACCTGCTTTCTGATTTAGCTAACCTTTTTCCAGCCCAGTGAAGCACCCCAACTTCTCTTTCAGGTAATTGTCAGCAGCACAGCAGCAACTATCAATATGAAGCAGATTATTATTGCAGATCATGCAGGGAGAACAAAGGGTAAAATATTTAACTGCAGCAGTGTTTGACTGTATTCTGCGCAGTGAGAAAACCTGAAGTCATTTTCAAGGTCCACCATTTCTTCTTTTCAGTCAGGTCAAGTTTCTAAGCTTTCTAAATCTCCGTTTTCTGGCTAATGAAAATAGGATTCCACCAAGTCTCCTATCTACCTAATCCAGGACTACTGTGAGGATAAAATGAGATGAGGCACGGGAAAATGTTTCACAGACATTTGGTTACAGCGTGAAATGTTTCCACTTGGCTATAAAGCAAGTCATGTTCCTGGGCTGAAGAAACTCCAAGGATGCTAGTCGCTAGGGAGAGGAAGCTGGGCATTGCTATGTGATGTCATTACCCGGATGGTCGGACACTTAGCATATTAGTCTTTTATATATATAGATAGATGAGTGACCACTCTAACCTTTGTAAATGTATAAAAATCCATTAACAACAGAAGTGTGGAAAAAGAGATCTTATTCAGAATATCACAACAGAATCATCTATGAATAATCAAAACCAGACAACTGTGTCATCTATATAAAGAAAATTATAAAACTTTACTGTAAAATGTAAAGACTTAAGAAATATCCTGGTTGGGAATGCTGAGTATTTTTTAAATGTCAGCACTTTCCAAATTGACTTGTGAATTTAACATAATCGTAGTCAACATTTAAATGAAAATTTAAAAAAGCATTTTTCCATTTTATATTTTTTAGTTTTAACTATATTATTTATTTTATTTAGTTTTAAGTATATTTTTATTGATCTCAGAGAGGAAGGGAGAGGGAGAGAGAGAGATTGAAACATTAATGATGAGAGAGAATCATTAATTGGCTGTCTCCTGCACACCCCCCACCAGGGATTGAGCCCGAAACCCAGGCATATGCCCTTGACCGGAATTGAACCTGGGACCCTTCGGTCCACAGGCCAGTGCTCTATCTGCTGAGCCAAACTGGCTAGGGCTAAATGAAATTTTTAAAAGTTTAACATCATTATTCTGAAATTTCCTTAAAATAATGCCCAAGTGAGAACAAAGACAATTTAAAAACAAGAATAATAAGGAGGGACTATCCCTGATGGTATTAAAGCATATCAGAAAACACAGTAATGTAAACATCATGGTACCATACCATTACTGGCTTCAGTTATGGGAGGTGATTAAAGCTTAGGAACTTGAGGAAATTTACTTAGTTGCCTCGGAATTTAAGCAAGGAAAATTTGTCAACCTGAAAAAGTAAAATATGACCTTTTAATGAACATTAAGATTAGCCAACATTGACTATGCTTAAGAGAAGGGCCCACCCTGGCTGGTGTGGCTCAGTGGTTGAGTGTCGACCCACAAGGAGGTCATGGTTTGATTTCCAGTTAGGGCACCTGCCCGGGTTTCAGGCTTGATCCTCGGTAGGGGGCATGCAGGATGCAGCCTATTGATGATTCTCTGTCATCATTGATGTTTCTATTTCCCTCTCCCTCACCCTTCCTCTCTGAAATCAATTTAAAAAATTGTTTTAAAAAAGAGACAGGGTGCTCGCTTTGGCAGCACATATACTAAAATTGGAACGATACAGGTAAGATTAGCATGGCCCTTGTGCAAGGATGACACGCAAATTCGTGAACCGTTCCATATTTTTTGGTGCTTTTTTGTGTGATGTCTGTACATAAAGGCAGTTCCAAAATAAAGAAAAACTTAAAAAAGAGACGGGTGGGGAGTGGGAGGGATGGTCATCTGATTGGCTCTGGAGTTGTCATTACCTCAACAGTCATATCCCAGACTGACTTCCCAGAAAACGACTTTGGTGTATCCAAGGGCTGGTCCAAGCCAGACAATGGCTCCCTTCTAAAACAGTCATCGGAATCTGTAGAACTGTCCTATGGCGGTGTCTGATACATTGTGAAAAAGGACAAAAGATTCACTGTGTGTGCTCTTTAGTGAAGACCAGTGAGACAGAAGGTGTTGTTTCTTCTCTTTTAGGGTGAAATAGTTAAGAAGTATACTCAGTTCAATCCTAAAACCTATGAAGAGAGGATTAATTTAATCTTACAGATGTGTGTAGAAGCTGCAGCAGAAGCTGTAAAACTGAACTGCAGAATTTTGGGCATAGGTAAGATTGTGAATTACATGTCCAAGAAATGTTCATTTTAATGTACAAAACTTACTGAGTCCTGCTGCATGACTGAACATCAACTCCCTGTCTCCAGGCCCTGTCTGTGGCCACCAACCAGCATTATGGGAAAAGCATTGTTAGTACTGTATATCTGGGAACTATAGATTTAGCTCAGGACTGTTTGTCATTTCTTTGCAATCCTTCGTAATATTTGTCTTAGGATATGTTGGGTGAATTAATTTGTGTCCCAAGCCCAGAAAGTTGGCACACTTTTCTAAGATTGCTAATTAGAGTTCCTTTGCCTGTGTGTGTGTTTGTGGTGGAGCTCAGGTATTTCCACAGGTGGCCGTGTAAATCCTCGGGAAGGAGTTGTGCTGCATTCAACCAAACTGATCCAAGAATGGAACTCTGTGGACCTCAGGACTCCCCTGTCTGATACTTTGCATCTCCCCGTGTGGGTAGACAATGATGGCAACTGTGCTGCCATGGCGGAAAGGAAATTTGGCCAAGGAAAGGGCCTGGAAAACTTCGTGACATTTATTACAGGCACAGGTAAGAGTAGGGGACGGTTGCTTCAGGAGCAAGAGTGTGTGCTGGGGCACACCTTTAACACTTCGCAACTTGCTTGAGTAGGGCCTGAAAGTGAGCCACACAGGAGAGCTGCAGTCTGCTCAGGTCGTTTCTGAGCATGGCTGTGGCCTTCTAAAATCTCAGGAGCTTGTCAGAGCTATTCAAACCCCTTACTCCCCAAAGCTTCTCATCCCCCAGCTTTTCCTCCTAGTGCGTTTGGTTAGTATATTGTTTGCCCCCAGTTACCCAGTTCCCTAAGCAGCAAAGACCAAGTATATTTTGCCTTTAAATGCCTGTGACAAATGCCCCTTGTGCAGCCCCCTGGGCTCTGGGAGAGTTCTGAGGTAGGTGAGATAAAGGCAAGTCCTTCGAGCTGGTCAAAATAAACCACCACAGTTATTTAAGAATAAGGTTTGTTCAGCTCCCTCTAGTACTGCCATCTGTACTGGGAACGGGGCTACTTTTCAAGGCCACTGCCAATTTGTGTGTGTGTGTGTGGTGGGGGTTGCGGGGGGTGGCGAGGGGAAGAGGCCGAGGGATTAATGGGACCAGAAAATGCCAGGAAGCTCTTACTAATATTCAGATAAAGCATTCCCCTGGTTGTTGCAAACTTTTGTTTAGTTTCCAGAGTTCCAAAAAAGTTGCCAGTTTAGTCATTGCTTTAGTGGAGGGATGCACTTTTGGAGTTTCCTACTCTGCCATTTTTGCTGATGTCCCAATTTGTTTTTTAAATGAGGAAGCCTCAGCTAATACATGGTCTAGCCAGCATTTGATCCTAGATATGCCCAACTTCAACACTTGTGTGCTCTTAAACTCTACATTATACTACCTCCCCTTTAAGCTCATATACTTCTTCTCTTAGTCCTGAACACAGTGTCACAAGTCGGGCTATCATTTCCTGGCACAGAGCAGTTAATAAGCTGCAAATGAGAGGGGTGGGCATTGAAGAATAGGTGCCACCAGAAGTAACAGATGGCTGGGAAACTAAAAAGCAGAGCCTGCTAAGGCAGAACGGCCTTTACTCCTCAGTAACTCCCAAATTCCATAACAAGACAGTCATTGATATTCGTAATTCCTGAATCAAAAATTTTTAGACACGGTATTAAGAGGAGGCAAAATCATATTCATATTCTGTTTAAGAAAGTAGGAGGTATTTGATACCTTAGAAAGATTGTCTGCCCCCAAAGCAGGGTCTGAGACAAGGATTTAGGGGTGGGTATTTTATTTTGGCAGTGATCCTGGGAAGCAGGAGTGAGGGAGTGGGAAGAGAGTAGGAGGAGAGTCACTAGAGGAGACATGATCAAAGTTGTCTTGAGGGCAGTGGGGGCTGAAATCGACTGGAACCTCCCAAAAAGCCTGCAGAATACCATCCAGAATTGTCCACTTGGGTCTGCTGGCTCCTGTCTTGCCTCAGTTGAGGATTGCCTCTGGGCACTGTGCTTGCATGGTTGACCGAGTTCTTTAGTGTTGGAGAAAGCCTCGGGGAGAACAGTGGACAGTGTGCACTTGAGGTGGTCTGTCATCACAAGATGAGTCAAGCAGATGCAACACAGGGTATCAGAGGATCTGCTAAAATTATTTCCATCCAAGATGATTCCAAATAGTTTTGGTACTTAGTAAGTTTCAGCTACTAGGAAAGTAGGCACTGTACAGAACCTCATATTCCCAAGCTTTCCTTAACAGATGCGGTATTGCCATATCAGTTTTCTGTCTCAAATGAAGAGCCACCTCAAGGATTGCTGTCTCTCTGTAGGAATTGGCGGGGGAATCATCCATCAGCATGAATTGATTCATGGAAGTTCCTTCTGTGCTGCAGAACTTGGCCACCTTGTTGTGTCTCTAGATGGGCCTGATTGTTCCTGTGGAAGCCATGGATGCATTGAAGCATATGCCTCTGGAATGGCCTTGCAGAAGGAAGCAAAAAAGCTACATGACGGTTGGTTTCTTTCTTCTGAGGGATTAAATAGCCAAATGGTAGAAAAATACTTCAAAGTAGGTATTCCAAAGGGGGCTGAGCACTGAAACCTGAGCTCTTAACCTTTTCCCTTCCTAGAATACGAGTGGGGCTCTCTCATACTGAAGCTCCAAAGCTTCCTTAGTCCTGACCCATGTCAACACTCTTCCTCTGCAGGGGTGGAGGGGGACAGGGGTCCTGAGCTCCAGGGGAATGGGGAAGATGTCTTTCATTTTTTTAAAAAATATATTTTTTTTCATTGATTTCAGAGAGGAAGGGAGAGGGAGAGAGAAATAGAAACATCAATGATGAGAATCATTGATTGGCTGCCTCCTGCACACCCCCTACTGGAGATTGAGTCCGCAACCCTGGCATGTGCCCTGACCAGGATCGAACCTGGGACTCTTCATTTCTCAGGCCAACGCTCTATCCACTGAGCCAAACCAGCTAGGGCTGTCTTTCATTTTTGTTTTCTAAGCTCCTAGCACAGGGGCTTAATACACATCAATACACATTTTAATGAAGAATTAAATGGAGGAACGTAGTTTAGTTTTTGAATTCTAAAAGGTCTATTTGAACTAATGCTGTTTCTAGATGTTATAAAAGTCAAGATGGTTTCCATTCTAATGCAAGAGGAAGTCATTTAATATCATGTGTCTCAAGTGCAGAGAGAATGATGGCCAAGAAATGTAGATGTATATAAGGACACCAGCGTTCCCTCCCACCTTCTCCCTACAGTGAAGGGAGTGTTAGGGTGCTGTCCTAAGAGGTCGAGAGTCAGAGGGTAAATAGCACTAGTGAGGCAAGTCTGAGTGGGCACAGGGACATTTCCAAGCTTGGGAGACAGTGATGTTGTGCATAAAGGCAGAGTATCATGTAGTAAGAGGTAAGCCAAAACCAGCAGCTAATGGAGAAGCCACTGAAAAATTTTAGGGAAAAGATACAGTCAGATCTGAATTTTAGATTCTTCACTGAATTGTAAATTTTTGTTTCCTGGGAGGAAAATGGTAGTTGAATAGAGGATAGCTTTAAATGGGGCAGTTCTATAGAGTGACTTCCAGTCTTCTGGATGGACAAGTTGGGGTTGGGGATATAAGACGAGGAACAGGTTTTGAAGGAAGGTAATAGTTGGGTACCAGTGGGACATCCATATGCAGGTGGAAATGCATAGGAGGCAGCCGGCTACAGGGGCCTGATGCTCAAGAGAGAGGACTAGGTTAGAGGTAGGGATTTGGGAATCAGCATGGAGGTGACAGTTAAACCACTGAAAGGGAAATGAATGATTTAAGTCAAGAATGGAATCCTGCAAAACAGGAACACCAGGAAAGGGTCAAGTCACAGAAGCCAAAAGTGGAAGTGTTTCAGGGAGATTGTAGCCTGTAGTGTCAAATGCTGCTCATGAGTAAGAGAAAATCAGAAACGTTCTTTGGTTATGGTCATGAGGACATCACTTGAAGCCCTGAAGTATTTTTTTCAACCTTGTTTTTATCACCCCTGATAAGGAACCTGCTTAGATGTTTTTTCCTAATCATCTCACCCCATGAAACGCTAATACCACAGATATGTTCTTTGTTTATGTACTCTCTGTATAAAAAGATTTTTTGTTGCCAAGAATCAATTTCTGCCCCCTCTCCCCCGGGGGGGGCAAATGCCTGTCTTAACGAAATTCAATCAAATAGTGGAAGCAGACGCCTAACTACAATGAGGAAGAGGGGAGAAGTGGAATCTGTTAGCACGTGCAGGTGGAAAGGAGACAGTGGAAATGGAAGCAACGGTTGGGAATGCAGGGGAGAAAGGATGGTCCCTACAGAAAGGACCTTGAAGAGGGGGGAAGAGATGAGTGCAAAGCCTGGCAGAGGGTCCAAAGAGAGGGAACAAAGGAATGAAGATGTGCAGGTACAACCCTGCTTATAGTTGGGGGCTGAAAAGTAAAGGAATTCCTGCCTGTCCTTTATTATCTGAGAGGTCATAAATATGAAAATGGCTTGGTCAGGTGAGAGTGAGGGTGGGCAGGGAAAGAAGGTCTGAGGAGGTGAAGCCTTAGGAGAGGCAGCTGTGAGTGCCCCCAGGAGATAGGCGACCACCAGGTGACATTCAGTAAGCAGTCTGCATGGTTTAGCTTTTCTCTCATCAGAGCCCATGCTCAATAGAGAAGGAGGCAGGTTGATCTGAGTTGGTGACTGGCAGAGTGAGGGACAGAAAAAAAGGACTATAGGTAACAGAAATACCTACTGTTTATTTACCATTAGTCTGGCCCCCATTTAACTAAAAATACTTTATGGTCCATTATGTCATTTAATCCCTAAAATAATCCTGCTAGGATGGGTATTAGTATATTACCCCAGTCTCACAGAGAAGAGAAACATGGTGACATGAAATGGACAGGGTTGTGCAGCTCGTAATGACAGAGCTGGCAGTGAACCAGGTCTGTGCTGTTTCCTAGGTGCTGTGCCTTCCTCCATGGAAAACGGGGCGCTGGCCAGTGATGCCACATTGCATCTGGGCTGGATAAGGAGGGGCGGAGTGCAGAGGAGTCTGATGGATTTGCTGGGGGGAAGCACTGCAAGGGCTCTGCTTCATCTGGAAGTGAGAAGTGGGAATGCTAGAGGGGAGGAGGCAGTTCAGCTCAGAACTGAGGATTTTAGTGAGGGACGTTTTGGGCAGTGTATGAGCAGGCAACGAGAGGGCAGCAGAGGCCTCTGGGGAATACATATGGATGTTTATGAGTGATGAGCTTTGCAAATGTGAAAATACTGTCTTCTCACTTGGGGGCTCGCTGCCCACTGGCACCATTGTAGTTTGGCCTCCCACAGGGCTGCCACAGCTCATGATTGACTGTCTCTCCTCCTCACCTCTGCTCAAACAGAAGACCTGCTCTTGGTGGAAGGGATGTCAGTGCCAAAAGACGAAGCTGTGGGTGCACTTCATCTTATCCAAGCTGCGAAACTTGGCAACGTGAAAGCCCAGAGCATCTTGAGAACAGGTGAGTGTCAGCTCCTGGCATCTGCCGAAGGGGACAGGCCCTGAGACCACCTGGGGCTCCCCCAGATGTTCAGCTTCCCTCAGGACTGGTGCTCTGGAGTGTTACTTAGAGGCATTTTTCCTGTTTACTGAGAGAAAGGGACTTGCCTTCAAGGCATTTGGCAGCATTGTCTTTTTAAGCGGGATTTTTTGTTTCTTAGTTTAGTTTTACGACTATGAAGAAACAACCTGTTCATTTTATAGGAAATTTAGAGAAATATGAGTAAGGAAGAGTGTCACTTTCAGTTTCACTGTTTCAGAGATATCAACTATTAACATTTCCTACCAGTATTTCTATTTTTTTATAGTTGAGACCATAAAGTACAGTACATACCATTTTATACCCAGCTTTTTTCCAAAGTATCTCATGATTATTTTCTCATAGTCAGAATAAATCATGAGCTTGGCCAGTATGGGTCAGTGGTTGAGCTTCAACCCATGAACCAGGAGATCTCGGTTCAATTCCTGTTCAGGGCACATGCCTGGGGTGTGGGCACGAACACCAGTGTGTGTGTGGGGGGGGGGGGGGGGTGTGCAGGAGGCAGCTGATCAATGATGTTTCTATCCCTCTCTACTTGTCCCTTCCTCTCTCTGAAAAAAAAAAAAAATCATGAATAGCTTTAAAAGTATGGCTTCAGGTACTTTTTATTACATAGTGTGGATGTTCCTGGCTGCTGGCTCTTTTCCATCTTCATCTTCGGCATTTTTAATTTAGTTCTCTTCCTGAAACTTATTTTTTTATTTTTCTGTAGCTGGAACAGCTTTGGGTCTTGGGGTTGTGAACATCCTCCACACTGTGAATCCTTCCCTTGTGATCCTCTCTGGAATCCTAGCCAGTCACTATATCCACACTGTCAAGGATGTCATCCGCCAGCAAGCCTTGTCCTCGGTTCAGGATGTGGACGTGGTGGTTTCGGATTTGGTGGATCCTGCCCTGCTCGGGGCCGCCAGCATGGTTCTGGACTACACAACACGCAGGATCTACTAGGCTTCCCCGGAGTGGTCACTGACAGAGACTCTCAGGTTGTCTTTTAGATGTGCATTTCTTAAAAAGCAAATCTGATATTTAAATTTGGTATTTGGCAGGTGACTTTGCAGAGAAGTTTGTGTTTTTAGTCTCCTCTTCCAAAGTCACCTTTCCCAACCCCCATTTTTGTAGCTGCTGCTCTTTCTGGGGTCATTTCGGCTCACACCCTATAAATATCACTCACAGTTTTCTGTGTCAAAAGGAGCTATAATAGCCTTAGACCTCTGCTTACTAGATGTACCACTCAGACCGGCAGGTGTTGCTTCGGAATGTGACTTTGATACTAGAGTTTGGATTATTAATCCTTCCTCCCTAAACTTAGATGATAGAAAGGGATCTAGTCGGCACAGAAGGAAATCTCACCATGAACTTTTTAAAAAAAGTTTTATTGAGGTGTTTTTAAAGTGCCCAGTTTGATAAGCTTTAGTATATGTATGTACCTGTGAAACCATTCCCACAATCATGATACTGGACATATTTGTCACCCCCAAAATTATTTGTTATTACTCTCACAGAACCTTGAGCAGCTTAGACCAGGGATCTGAATGACAGTGGCCTTAGTGACCTTGTCTTCTTAAGGACAGCTGAGAACCCACTAGGACTTACAGTCTCTGAAGGAGATTAACCATCTCAAAAGGATTGTTGCTACTGACAAGCAGACACCTCTCCCTTCAGTAGCCTTTCATACAACATTGAATATGGCCCTGGAGTGTCTATCATGACAGTGTTTGTGTCAGACCTAGAGCCCACGTCTGTGAATCTGGATTCCGGCTCAATAAGATTCCATGCTTTCATGATACAGAGGCCACGGTTCTTGCTGTCAATTACAACCTGGAAGAAAAACTAATAGCCACTACTTATTAAGTGCCTACTGTGTGCCAGGTTCTGAACTAGGTGTGCCTCAAGTACATTATTCTAAATTGTTGCAGCCTGTGACATAGGTGTTTTA